GACGCGAAAACTAACCGCATCTACGAAAATGCTCGCGACATATGGATGCGCTCTCGAATTGTGAGTTGCTGCTGTTTAACGTCCGACATCTCATTTCGATTCATCTTCAAATGAACGTGAAATCGAGAATCCAATGGAAGGAGATTTAATTATCCTTTATATATATAAAAAAAAAAAAAAAATGTTAAACGTTAATATTGAAAAATATTGTTTTATAAGTACAATCGATTGAATCCGCGCGCGTGTCAGCATTGTATTGCGATGTAAACTTTGTAATAACCGACTTTCAATTACATTTCGCATCTAACTGCATCTTGTGTAACAGACAGCTGCATGACGGCGCTACAAATGAAGGAAAAATAAATACCCTTTTACACAAACAAATAGCAAAAATCAAATTATTTGCAGCGTTGAACCAGGCAATTAAGCGAGCGATGCATCTGCGCGTTAAAGGTACCTTTTATGTTTTATGTTTCAAAGCACACGGTTTTGAAAAATCTCGCAACCGAATTAATTGCGCGATCTTTTAAGATTTGTATTAATTTTTATTTTTTTTTTAATGCAAGATTGTGCAGCAGAAAACGGCGTTTTTCACTTTGTCATTTCCTCTGAATTTCAACAAATGCGGGCGTTTTACAAAACTCTTTTTTTTTTTTTTTAAATATACAAAATTATATTTTAATTTTATTTTTTTTAACGAATTACATGCATAATATATAACATATAGTAAAGAAATTAATTTTAAACAAGATTATATAATATATAATAATCCTCATTATTAATCTAGTGTGTTTATGTGATGTCATAATTAAAATATCTAATCTAGACCATTGTTAAGTAGGGTTACTTCTCTTAATTAATTAATGGGCGGATTCTATTCGTCAAGATTATAGCGTGTCTCTCATGGGAGACTAACAGAGGATCGTAAATACTGCAACACTTGCGCATGTGTAGCGAACGGCTCGCGGACAACTGTAACAACAGAAGAAAGCGGCAATTAAAATTATTGCGACCATCTGTCACAATAAAGATCGACACGTCCGCGACCGCAGATTGTGTCGTGCGTAAATCCGGCGAAACTGCGTAGCGCAACCTTTTTCCATCGTTCGCACGGAATACAGGGGTGGTTTGATTGATGAACGACCGTAGAAGAATCGGAGAGCGTTGTTACGTGACCAGAATATGGGCTGTTGACGCTTTTATTACCGTGGCGGTAATCAGAGCGGCATTTCCAATGATTTCTCCGCAAATAGTTTAGTAATTAACGATGATGATTCGTTGATCGTTTTAGGTTGCGTTATAATTGCGTGCTAAATTAAAAAAAAAAAATTTAAAACTTTGAATATTTTTCTTATAATGAGAATCATTTTATGAAAGATCGTCTCGAAGCTTCATAAAATCCATCGTTGCATAGATTTTTTTGCCATAACAACTCTCGCATGAAATTAAATGATTCGATTAATTACTCTCTCTCTCTCTCTCTCTCTCTCTCTCTCTCTGTGTCGACATAAAAATTACGAGAATTTTAATTAATCACATTACGTACAGCAAGCTCGCTCCGGCTCGTCTTAATTAAACGGAATGCGATAGGAACAATTATTACCAGCGCAGACCGTATCGTTCGGCGATACGCCGGAAACCGAACGAAGACTCGCGTCGAATTTCCCGGTGCAATTACGAGCACGTTAAAACTCGACGGCATTTGGCGACGGCAATTTCGCGCGAAAAATTATAGCGAGTCATCCGAGCGGCCGTTTCTTGGACGCAGCGAAGGGCTCGTTTGCATTTCACGTTAATAACGGGACCATGTGGCACCGAAGGCAGCCTGCTGCCACAGCTGTGTGTGTTTGTATGTGTGTGCGCGCGTCAATAAAATAAAATTCCATACGGTAGGAACGGCGCGGTGGTGCGCCACATGGATCTTAAAGATTACTCGCGTTTCCGCATTCGTGCCATTTAATTTTCCCCAACGTGTAATTTTGCCCGCGTCGAACCGAAAATATCGCCGAGCTCATGCAAATCGCTCGATTCCAAATCGGATTCGTACAAACGCGATTACAAATCGCTCGATCAGAGATCTCTATATCTCTCTAACTTCTTTTTCATAAATTAGAGATATAATTGCATGAATCTAGGTCGATTCCACACTTTTTTGGCAGTTTGCTTTCATCGATTAAATCCCTCGGAGAGATTTGATATTATATAAATAATTTTTATTTTACTAATTTTTTTGTTCACTTAAAATCTATCGATTAAGCAGTGAAAGGTCTTCTCTATTCATAAATGTTTTTTCTGGCAAAAAATAAATCGATTTTCGTGTATACACGTGTAGTGAGCTGCATGTAAGAGAGAAAAGTCGATTACTATAATCAAGTATAGAGTCGGCAAAAATGGCGCAACGCTGTCCGGTGGAGGAGGCAGGGAATTGTTCGTTATGATTATTTCCTTCAATGGGCACCAATTTCATTACAACCATGCTGTTTCCGGTGACATGTTTTTGTCTTCGGTCACCGAATGGCACAATGCAGTAGAAACGATGCATATGACTTTGCTGGGAATAATAATTGCTGTAGCATTCGGTGTATAATATTATGCGCGTAAGAAATATATTAGCCTTATTTAAGATTCACATGCAGAATTTAATCTGTGCAAAGTTAATAAACTGCCTGTTATATACAATATTAAATAAATAAAGTCTTAAAGAGATAGCGCTACAATTATCTTGGATTTAATTTAAGATAATACCTGCAATATCTAGTATATAAAAATGAAATAAAAATATTAAATTCATATTTTCGCTCATTAATAAAAAATCCATCACGTATCATGCAAAGTATACAATACAATTTAACGAGATATACAATTATGGCAATTCGCGGGATAATTTATTCATACATTACATTTATTCCTGCGGAATTGTGAAAAAAAGAATCGCGAACGTGTTCGGTTACTTTTAATGCCGGACATAGCTGTCGGCGCGCTCGTAAAAGTCTCGGCGATGCGATTACCGTAATAAATATGAAACGAGATCTTGCAGCGTAAGCACGAGATAAAGAAGAGGAAGCGCGAGAAAGGAAGTTAAATACGCGCGTTGTTGCGTAGAAAACGCAAGACGCTTACGCGACGCAGCATTGCACTGCGAATACCACCTGTTAGGCCGATGTGTAAATCTTCATAATGTTTACGACGCTGTTTGCAACTTGTCCCAGTGGTAAGAAAGATTGCTCTAGACACACGAAGAGCAGCATTTGGATGCAAAATAGAGTATCCGGGTACTCGCTCGTTACATACGGGTTCGCGGGTACCCGTACATTGTTTTTAGAATGAATTATTCGACTATTGATTTAAAAAAAAAAATATTTTGACGACAAACGTCAGCTTGTTTAATGTCTCGTATTTTTACAGAATATCGATCTTTTTACGTAATGTAATTAATTATCTGCTTCGCGAAACTAGTGTTTATTCATATGAGAATAATCGGTTTAGACATTTGTATATTTATCTCATTTGGTAATTAAAAAGTATTATTCTGTATTTAATCCTCTGTTTGTTTAATGTAATGTTTTTGTGTACCATAAAAATTTAAATTAATATAAAATATTTAACATATATTTGTAAAATTGATATAAAATTAATTTGCCAAATTTGTCTCTGCAAAATTAATTAAAATAATTTAAAAAAAATTGCTATACCGATCTATTAGGTATTAAATATCTACTTTAAACTGCTTGCTCTCTCATACATATAGATACATATAATACAGTAAACGACATTCTCTCTTGAACTTAGATCAATTAAAGACTTATTTCAAATTGACATTAATGGAATTTTGATTTAAAATTTAATTTTAAATTTCAAGCTTCTTGTTTAAAGAAAATTTTAATGTTAAATATTAAAGTCAAGTGACAAATGTGTCGGCTAATCAAATATTCATACAAAAAATTAATTTCGCTCAATGAATCCATAGATGAAAAATTGTTTGCGACACCGTCCGTATATATTGGTTGCATTTCGGGAGGAGAACACTTTGCAGAGATGGTCCATTTGTAGGCCGCGCGCCGAGTGCGGCCAAAAATGATCGGCGCGATCAGTTATGGATGGTAGCATTCGCGGATCCCCAATAATTCCCGCGCGCGTTCCGGTGACGGATCTTTGTTGGTTTGTAAAACATCCGTTTGCACATTCCATTAAAACGGCCATCGGTATGCGCGGCGACGATCCCGTCTCGCCGGGCACGTAGACGAAACATGCGGCCGGCGCGACGCTCTCATGAAATGGAATCAATCAAATATGAATCGTGCGCGCGATGACGTGCATATAGGTGTCCCGGGCTCCCTCGCTGCTCGTTTTTCCCCGCGTCGTGTCGGCTCGAGCCTGACGTGGTTGATAGCAGGTGCACGTTCTCGTGGAGACGTCCCGCTATGGGTAGAAGAAGCTGTTGATATTCAATTTTAATATTTTGGTGATGCGTGCGAATAGATTCTAGTGAATTTCCTTCTTGAAGAGAAGAAATAAAAGGAAAGATAAAAAGGGGATAAAAAAGCATTAAATTGTAAGGCAATATTCATCTTCTTCAACTTTTTTCTTTTTTCTCCTTTTTAAATCTCTGTCATTTGAGCCGTTTAAATCTTAGATGTATAAATATCCGATTTTTTATATAAATTAATTAATTAAAATGTAGCTTGTGTAGGTTTATCTTTATTTTGTATTTCATTTTATTGAATATTTTCATTTTTTCTTTTCTCTCACTATTTTTCTTTGTTTTCTCGTTTCGTTGCGTGACTATTACCCGTACATTCTCATATGTAATTTTAATAATTACTCAAAAGGGATGTTGTCAATAAAGTGTGTATCTATCTTTGTTTCTTCCTTTTTTCTTTCCAAATTTTTTGAACTAGCTATATATTTATCATCATTATTGAGATAATTATCGCGAAATTTTTTCAGAGCCAGCATTTGAGAGCGATTTAAGAGAATTTAATCAATGTCGTCGCCCGCAGGTGAGAAAACGGCCCGCGAGCATGAAAGTGGAGGGTGGAGCGGCGACAACGACGACGACGACGACGACGGTCCTCCACAAGGTCAAGGTTAAGGAAGAGACAAAGGAATGCTGTGGCTACCAGCAGGCCTCGCCGTCTTCCACGTTGGCGGTCACAACCGTCGCGACGCCCACCGTCTCGGCCGCGACGACGATCAGCACGACCGTCGCCAACACCAACGGCATCACCACCGCGAATCCACCGTCGACGGTTACTACGGTTGTCACCGTCGCCCCCGCCCCGCAATCTTCCGGTATTATCTGCCATCCACCGACGACCGTCCCCAATACCGTCGATTCTTTTCCGGTCGACCTCGATCTCAAAGCGAAGAATAAGGGTGAGTATATATTTCTTTCCTTTGATATGTCTCTCTGAAAAAAATATTATCGATCGCGTGATGCGGAGAAACAACAATGAGTTAACTAGTATATAGGGTGGGCCCAAATATTCCGGCCAGACTGAGATTTGATAGGAAATTTATAATCCTGAACAAAAAGTTTCCAATAAACATGGGTCGAAAAATGCTTCCTTAAAAAGTTAGCGCCCAAAAACCTTTGAAATCACGGTTATTTTATACATTTTTATAAATATCAGGGAAAGTATGTGTTTTTTAACAAAAAGTACCGAAACAAAAGTTGTAGAGAATTAAATTATCTTTCAAACGAGATCAAAGTAATTGTAGTACGTTTCATAGGTTTTGAGATAACCAGTTTCAAATGTACAAAAGTGTTTTTTCGGCTATCGACGGTAGAGCTTTTTAAAAATTCTCTTCATTTATGCTGTTATGGCCTTAGCTAATTTTTAATGTTTATCTTGCTTGTTGGTTCTACTAAAAAAATTTTACTTTTCTGCATTGTTTAAACCAATCACCATAGAAGGATGAAAGGAAGAGCAAAAGGTGAAAAGAAAATGAAATAAAAAGAAAATGAAACTTAATAAATTTCTTGAAACGTACTACAATTATTTTGATCTCATTTGAAAGATAATTTAATTCTCTACAACTTTTGTTTCAATACTTTTTATTAAAAAACGCGTGTTTTCTTTGATATTTGTAAAAATGTATAAAATAACTGTGATTTCAGAAGTTTTTGGGCGCTAACTTTTTAAGGAAGCATTTTTCGACCCATGTTTATAGGAAACTTTTTGTTCAGAATTAAATCTTATAAAATTTCAAAGTCTGGATGAAACGTTTGGGCCCACTCTGTATTTTCCATACGCATCTTTGAAAAGATATCGTCGATTTGACTATAATTAATTAGTGATTATATATATTTTGATTTTTTTTAATATAATATTAAAAATAATTTTTTTTTCTGCTTTATGGAATGAGTTGTTTTTTTAGAAACTTATAGTCGAATATTTAGCAATCGAGACTTTTCTTAGAAAAATATTTTTATCTTTCTTGGGGAATATTGTTCGATCGAGCAAGCTGGTCTGTTTGCGAAAAGTGTAAATATCAATTTGTATTGATCTATTGATTTCTCTGCCTCAAAGTCTGGATGAAACGTTTAGGCCCACTCTGTATTTTCCATACGCATCTTTAAAAAGATATCGACGATCTGACTATAATTAATTAGTGATTATATATATTTTGATTTTTTAAATATAATATAAAGAATAGTTCCTTTTTTGCTTTATGGAATGAGTCTTGTTGTTTTAGAAACTTATAGTCGAATATTTAGCAATCGAGATTTTTCTTAGAAGAATATTTTTATCTTTCTTGGGGAATATTGTTCGATCGAGCAAGCTGGTCTGTTTGCGAAAAGTGTAAATATCAATTTGTATTGATCTATTGATTTCTCTGCACGATTCTATTCTCATAGTCTGTAATGTCATGCTTTGCAAAATGTACGTGGAAATATCGGCAGACTCTTGACGTGGCATTGTAAAAAATGTAAGTATAGGGAATCTTGATTCACGAGCTACGTAGATGCACTAGGAAAGTTGTTATTGTCGTGGATAGATGTTATTGCAGAAAATTACCTTTGTCGCATTAAAAAGCGCAAAAATATGATCGCAATGGAAATTTTAACGGCCGCTATCAACGCGAGCGATTGTCGTTATTGCTTCATGTTTAATTATAATTCAACCCAATCAGTGATTCGAAGTATCTCGTTGCAACGAATATGTGACGTTCAGAGTTGTTAATACCTCCTTCACTTCCATCCCAGTCGGCAATATGTTGTAATAACTTGTCGGGGTGGAGTGACACGTGTCGTTTAAAAATTTACAACGTGATCACACTCTGGTCTATCTGATCTATCGCACGCCCGTAAAAAGAAAAAAAAAACAAAACAAAACAAATCACTCGGTAGAGCCCAGCTGAATAGCACGGGACGCTATTCTGTTAATTCGTGATATATATCGACGATTCCCGCTCGAGAGCACGTCGATAACGTATAGCGCACAGGTGCGGTAAGTGCAGTTTATCTAATTTCAGATTCGCGTCTCTCTCTCTCACACGGTACATTATACATGTACACTTTTTCTGTTAACTTAATACGGATTTCACCGTTTAGCGCGCAGCTGTCAGATGTCAAGCTGTCGCTTACAATCTGTCACTTGCCACAGTCAAGATTATGCCATGTGACAACCAATCTTTTATAATTTACTAACGAAAATTAAGTTTTTAATTAAAATTTGTACACAAGTAACAAAAGAAAAAAACAATAAATGTTAATGAAATTTTAATTAAAATATATAAAGCTGCGTATAAACGCTTCATACAGTCTGGATTGACGTAAATCATCTGTAAGTTCAATACGAATGCACACAATTAATTAAAGTTGTATAATATAAGACATATCCTCTCCTTTATAGACAGATCCAAAAAAAAAATTTTGATTATTTAAAAAAATACTTTAAATACATCTGCGATTCTGATCCGCTCAAAATAAACCGTACGACGCTATTTCC